GTGGCAAAGGACAAGGTAAACGAAAGGAAAACTGTGTTCGTTTGTACCAGTTGCACAACATGACACACCAAGCGGGCAGTTTGTGCCAGTTACATAACATGACTCACAAAGCGAGGAGTGTGTACCAGTTACATAACATGACACACCAAGCGAGGAGTTTGTGCCAGTTACATAACATGACACACCTAGAAAGTTGTTTGTTTCAGTTACATAACATGACACACCTAGCGAGGGGATTGTTTGAGCCGGTTACATAACTTGACACACCTAGCGGGGAGTGTGTATCAGTTACATAACATGGCACACCTAGCGAGGGGATTGTTTGAGCCGGTTACATAACATGACACACCAAGCGAGGAGTGTGTGCCAGTTACATAACATGACACACCAAGCGAGGGTGTGTATCAGTTACATAACATGACACACCAAACGAGGAGTGTGTATCAGTTACATAACTTGACACACCAAGCGAGGAGTGTGTGTCAATTACATAACACAGCACACCTCAGTGATAAAGTGTGAAGAATCAAAACGGTGTGTAAATTAATTGTGGTTAGTCGGTTTATTTCGGGGAAGTACTCGAGTACCTATTTGACATTGAAGAAGAGAGCAAGGGCCGGGCGAGGCGTGAGCCACGGACTCACTCAAACACACACACACACACACACACAAACACACACACACTTACACACACACACATATACACGTGAGCCACGGACTGTGGAAGACCGCTTGAGCGTGAGTGGCAGTCGAGGGGCAAGAGCATTGTCACTCGTCAGTGCAAGTTGGTCAGCGCACGGTGCTAGATAGGGCAAGTAGAGTAGGCGGTCGCGGTAAATGTGAGTTTGTGACTTCTCCGTGGACATCCTGCAGGTGGTGACTGTCACAAGAGGTGGGTGTTTATATTTATAGTTTAACTACATTTTATATTCCTGCCCTCAACAAAGTCCCCTGGTGCAGCAATTTTTTAAAATGGACGATAACCGCCCACTTGATAGAAAAGGGGCAGATTTCTCCGCCACTCGGGTGCCTCGGGCAGTATCCGCCTCGCTACACCAGTGGGCACAAGGCCGGAGGAGAAGCTGAGAACAGATACCATCTTTGATCTTAGCCAAAAGGCCGAGAAGCGATATTCCTGCCCTGATTAATGTCCCCTGGTGCAGCAATAGCCGACTGTTCTGCTCCTTTGGCTCCTCCTGTCTGCTGGTCGACAACATTGGGTGTTCAAAGATCGTACCTAACAAGACAGTTCACTCAGGACTCAGCCAAAAAAGGGTCCGCGGAAGTCCGCGCTTTCGTTCAGATGTCGCTGCAGTTTTTGTTTTGAGCACAGAATTCCACACTTATTAGTATAAATCTGTGGTTTTGAGGCTCTCCTTCGTTTCTCCAGAAGAAGAATAGGGATAACACAGTTTGTTAGTTTCGCTTTTCTTGTTTTTCCACACAAGTAGGTCAAGGGTAAATCTGGTCGCAAAGTCCGCGCTTTTTAGAAGAGGGCGCCACCGGATTTTTAGGAGACTTTTTTTAATTGTCTCAAAGAGAGGAGTGAACTATCTTGTTATGTACGATCTTTGGTCAAAGAGAGGAGTGAACTATCTTGTTATGTACGATCTTTGGTCAAAGAGAGGAGTGAACTATCTTGTTATGTACGATCTTTGGTCAAA